TCCCCGGTTCCCAATCACCCACCTTCTGGAAAGTGCCACCTTCCAGCTGCCCCCAGTCCCTTCCGTCGCAGGACGTGATGCTCACGGTTTCCCTGATTTCTTTGGGAACGTAGCTATGAAGAATCTGGTACACCCTCTTTATCCGGGAAATGGAGACGTCATTGGCTGCCAGATGCCCTGAGAGGACAAAACAGGCAGACTGGGAATGTCATTCTTGCAAAACCACAACTGATTCCCAACTCGTATAACCAGAAATGATTAATGGTCAGACATTAACGGAGACGGCACAGTCTCCCAGCCCTGTTTCACGCACGGGGACAAGGAACGCCCGCCTCCGCTTACCGCAAAGCCCGGTCTGCAGCAGAGCCAGAGTCTTGCCACCCGGAGCCGCACAGAGGTCGAGGACAGTGTCATCGGGCTTCACGTTGAGCGCCAGGATGGGCAGGAGAGATGCTGCATCCATGAGGTAATAGTCGAGGAGACCCAGAGTGTCCGGCCTGGAAACCACCAATTTGGGTAAAAAAAGCAAAGAGCAGTTGGAAGCGGGGCCAGGGAGGTGCCGCAGCAGCGGGTGCTCACACACGTGCAGCCCCCGAGGCTGGCAATGACAGCGGGCGGGCGGTCCCGGGGACGTCTCACCGTGCAGGGCGAAAGCGAGTGATGTCGCCCCTGGGGAAGGTGTAACACTTGATGTTGGAGGTGATGGAGGCGCGAAGCGGTGGTGACATCTCTGCCTGTGTCATCGTCTTTGCCTGCATTGTTGTCCTGCCCTCGCCAGACCCCTCCCGGGACCTGCCTTCCCCTCTCCCCGTTTCCTCCGCAGCTGTACCCCGCTGTGGTTCCTGCGCCTTTTTGAGGGCTTCGGAGACAAAATCGGTGGCATTCAGCAGCTCCAGCTCTTGGGTGACGTGGTCGACAGGAGAGAAGTTGTTGAGGAGGGCGCCGTACTTCTGCTCGCAGAGCAGGCCGGCGCGGACGGAGGGCCACTGGTCCTTCAGCTGCAGGCTGTAGCTCATGTCGAAGTGGTGCAGAGCCAGCCGCGTGGGAGGGATGCGGGGAGACGTGGTAGCCTCAGGAGGAAAAAAAAAACATCAGAGATGTTAAACAACAAAATACCCCGACATGCCAGTGCCCCCCGCAGCCCCAACGTTTTTCTGGGAGAATCCAGTGCTGGGTTCTGTGCTGCCAAAAGTCACAGGGGGTCTTGCTGCAGCCCCAGAAAGTGACTGTGCCCCTGACACCCATGGGCTGGTGGTCCCCTGGGGAGGGTTC